CATGATTGAATGAGGAAAGCTTCAAAGAAGTGAGTTCATTAATGTAAAATAAGCAGTAGCATTAACTACGAGAATATGGGCAAACTGCTTTAGGCGGTTTGAACATGTAAGGAAAATATGAATGTGTGTATCAGTAAGAGTAATGGGACAATCTTGAACTTTGAATTGATCAATAAATCTTAATAGTGCTGAATAAAGAATCTTTTAGCCGGTCCAGAGAAATGGAATGATGTACTTCACTGTTACTGCTCGGGCATCAACAAGAAAGAGAGTAATGGAACTATATCTGAGGACGCCAGTTGAACATCAGAAAAATTTTTAGTCTAAGCTATTGAAAATGTCTCTTGATCAATATGTAGGCCAGAAAAAATTATATCAAGTTGTAAGAAAAATAGAAGGTCACGGACTTAAACAAGAATATGCGATGGACCCATTTAGAGTTTTTGAGGGCTATATGTTTCACTGTTAGCTTATTTTTAGCCCTTTATTATCATATTAGCAGTTTATATTGCTTGTTGATTATTCAAACAAGAAAGATAGACTCATCAAGTTGATATTTAACTACTCTAAATAGTTTACATTGGCGTGAGATTAATTGTTGCATGTTGTTGTTGCCTCTACCTTAATTTTCTCTCATTCCTGGCCGAATCAACAAGTTGCTGCTGTATCAAAATGTATCTTTACAGGTCAACTCACAATTTAATCATCCTTCGCTTCATGAGTCAAAATATTGTCATCTCATCCTTTTATTATTCTAATTCAATCTTACCTAATTTAATAAGACAATAGACTGTTATAAAACTATATCTTTTTACTTGCTCTCCAAGTCATTTCAGTCTTTACTTAGCCAACTCATGTTCACGAGTTCTTATGTGGAAAATTGTGAAAGGAAGTTGTCTTGCTCTTTTAGCTTTTCATGACCACATTTTCCCTCAAACTATCTTTCACTCCCTTCCCTTTTCCTCCAAATATTGCCACAAAAAAGATGTTTCTATAAAGAATTAACAATTGTTGCAATTGTTTGATTGGTCTTTGATTTCTGGGATTGAATTCTAATCATAGTTATATAATATGAGATGGTAAGGGATTGTTGTACGAATTAGCTATTTTTGAATTCAATGTACACAATTTGTCACTTAGCTATTTTTGAATTTGAAGGGCTTTGGTATGAAACTTAGATACATGATGGTGTTGTAAATTTTTTGTGTGTGCTTACCATTTTTCAAAGTGTATAATAGAAAACTTAAAACTACTAATCTAATTATGCATTTCAATATATTCTGCTCCAAAATACTTCAATGCTTCACTTTCAAAATTTCTAAATATTTAAGACATATAACTTATAGAATAAGCACCTTAATAATTTTTTCTACTCCATTTTCTGTGGTTTTCTACAAAACATTTGAGTGCATTGTACTCTCCATCTATGTGCTTTCTTCTACTTTCAATTCCCGAGTTTCTGTAACTTGTAACAAGTACACCAATTTTGGTACCAGTTTGCATACCGGAGTAAACCAGTATGCAAATGCACCACGTTCTGAAATGTGCGAACCGTATGACAGTTCGAGGGAGAGTCTTGCAAATTTCGTAACTATGATTCTAACACCATACCTCTTTGGATCAATAACCTTCCTCATTCTTGACATCCATTCCTTTAAACAGGCATTTTTACCTAAAAATACTAGTTTATGTCTATATGTCTTAAACTCCAGAACTCCATCAACTTTCAACTTGTTTCATGAAAGAAATATCTTAGGATCATGTATTCTTTCTTGTTCGACTATTAGTAAGTGAGTATTCAGATTGTTAATTGAGAATTTTTGAAAGCTTGTATAAAATTGTTGCTTCTACTTTCTAAATGGTTAAACAAGTATCTAAAATAGACTCACTATGAATTTTAGCCAAGGTTATAACTTATAACCATCATTGTTGAACATGGATAAATTTCTCTAACACCTCATTTGGTATGCGGGAATGAGATGGAATGGAATGTCCATTCTCACTTCTCATTCCTACATACTAAACACAACAATATTTTAGAAGTTGGAACTTGGAATGCTCATTCCCTAGTAATGCCCATGTGTGGGAATGAGCATTCCTATTGAATTGACAAGGAATGAGCATTCCTATTGAATTGACAAGGAATGCGCATTCTCATTTACGTGAGAATCAAAATAGTTACATAATTTTCAATTGTGCCCCTATTGATCATATAAAAAATCTTAAAAAAGAGCTCCCTCATCAATTACGTGTACACCATATCTTTAAAAGTGTTTCTATCTTTTTTCTTATCAAGCTCAGCTGCCTAAACCTAGATTGGCCTTGCCTCTAGCGACGGAGGCATATATCCCTTTAGATGCCTATTTTAATTGTAATGTCAAAGCTGCTATTTTAATTTGAGATGAACACTTTGATTAAAATTTGATGGTTTTGTCTAAGGTAGTTGATTAAAATTTGATGGTTTTGTCTAAGATAGCTTGCTCATTCACATAATCATAAGATAAGTAACTAAAAAAAGTTGGGACCATAGGATAAAAGGTCATCGTACTGAAATTCCTTCTCTTCACTAGCATATAGTGCAATAACATTAGCTGGAATGAATAATTGGCTTGAAGTATTAGAAGTTGCTTCATATTTGTTTTGACTTTCTATAAATATGCTTGTTCAATTCCATTGTACGATTTTAAAATATAACCAAATTAATAATTAGTCTTAAAATGCAATCATTTTTATCCAAAATAATTTCTATGAAAATTATTTTTTAATTAGTAAGTCAAAAGACTGGAGTTATTGCTGAGGTAGTGTAACAAAATAAAAAACCATATCAGGGAAAAATTATTTTCATAAAACATATATAAAAACTAAAATTATTTAGTTATTATTAATATATTTTTATATTTTTAAAATTCTATGCTGTTGTAAAGGCATTATTAGAAAACAAAATTTCACTCTGATTTATGAACAAATGATACGAAATATGAGAATAAGAATGAGATTGTCATTCCGACTTCATTCTCCAATCGCTCTCAACGTGAGAATGAGAATGATCATTCCATCCCCACATCTATTCCATTCTATTTCCTACTTCATTCCATTCTCACTTGGCACGATTCTCGCGTACCAAACGAGGTGTAAGGATCAATCCTTTCTCATACTTGGATGTTTACAAACGGTCTTTACGTTAATTCCTAAGTAAGGTGCTCTAGATTGATTAAACAAACCCTTTTGCTCGTTAAGCTTAATTACAAACTATTCTGGTGCATATCTACTCGAAGAATTAACGTAAAAACTAGCGTTAAAAACACGCTCTACCCAACCGAGTACTTGCCTGAATACTCCTACCAAACTCCAAAACGTGTATGTAGTTGAAATCTGCTCAATTATGTTGTCAAACTGCATAGTTAAGCAGTTAAAGAGTATGCACCTGCATAATGAAATTATGTGGGAGCATGATTTACTCGACCTCACCCGCACTTTATTAGCCTAATGTCTCTTGATTAGCGCCTCAAAAGAACCTAAGAAACATATACTACTTTAAAATCCTAAACCTAGTCAATTTTATGCAACCTCCTTTTCAAGCCACTAGTTACCGACTTACCGTTGATCATGGTCTCCAACTACCACCAAGTGTAGACGTTAACCGTCGCTATATCCCACCACAGTTTTTGCTACTGATCGCGATGAGGATGATGAGGAAGACTAGATGAGGAGTTCTATTAGTATTTCAAAGTATTATGACTTGTGAGAGTGTTTTCAGTTTGTGAAATTTTAGTAGTTTTGCTTCAAAGTGTATAACCACTTTGATTTGAAATGCTTGGAGTATTATTGTTATTCTTTTGCTTGGAGTGTTGTATATTATTTATGAATTTTTATATTTTTATATATGATACATAATATATGTATTAAATTTTTAATAAACGAATAATTCCGCATAATCATATTATTTGCTGCATAATCTGATTAATAGCTACCCGATATTGGTCCGTACGCATAATGAATCGTGTTTTAGAACATTGGTAAAAACCACTGCAGAATAGAAAATAATTAGAAAACTAAGTAAGAACATCCAAATTTTCACAAGGCAATAAAATTTCGTAGTGAAGAGCCATTATATACTTAATAACTTGTTTTAACATCGATAACCGCTGATTTGCTGAAGCTTCTTCATGTTATCAAACATTCATCTGATTAATTACAAGTTAGTAATACAACAGAAGCAAATGCAAGAGTTCTAAAATATATCTTTGATAAATTAGTGCAGTTTACAAGAAAGATTGATTTAAACTTGGACGCCTCACTAAAAGGGTTTTAGATTAAGCGTAGATGTCACCAACAAGTCAAGCACTTTATCTTAATTTAAACAATCAAGAGCTGCAGTGTTACTGTAGTCACCACTCAAACCATGAATCCACAAAACATTCAACTTGTCTTTGTCACCTCGAATTCAGTATAGAATAAGGAGTTGAATATGGAGAAGGTTTGAAGAAGATCAACATGTAGTGGAAACAAATGTATTTTTATTAAGGAATTTTAGTCCGTACTTATCCTTATCTTTCGTCAAATTTTCACATATCCCCTAGCCTTTTTTTTTTCTTTCTATAATCTTATATTATTTTGTGTATATGTTTGTGTCTATCCTTCGGGTGACTTCGAATCAATTGAAACTAAACATTGAGTGTTAGCAGGCTAACTAATTGATTTATGTGGCAAAGTTACGCTCCAATACTATTTGATTCACGAAAGCATCATGTCAGAATTTATATTCTCCTTTCATAATTCACAAGTTCATCTTATCCCCTCTGCAGTTCCCTCACATTCCTCCTCTCATTGGAAAAAGCCTTGTTATCCCAATGTTCTTGTTGTTGTACACATTGATTTGCGCCTCAAATGAAGATATTCATCAAAGAATTGTAGTTGTTGTTATCATTGCTATGCATCATCCTTCATCTTCATTAAAGTCTGAATTCATCCTTCAAGGGTGTTCGATCTCACAGCTATCATCATGATTTCAGTCATTGTCATCATGTTGGAGGTAGTGCTGGGTAAAAAGGAGAAAAAGTGGAAAGTGATTGGTGCAGGTGGAGCGGTTGGAGAGCCTTTGTCAATGCCAGTCAAGAGAGTGAAAATGCTACACATCCAGCCATCCAAGCAACAAGAAGGTCATCAAGCTGGGAGGGGTCCCATTGACAAATATAAGTACATAGTTATGTATTGGCAGATCGATCCAGAAATGTTAACTTCACCATTAAAAGGAAAGTTCATTTTTTGGATTGCAAGAAATAAAAAATTGAAAGTCAGGGGTTGTTTTCATCAACTTTGGCAAATGAAAGCATTCAATTCAAAAAATGGCCAGAGGCTTAGGAAGACTTTATTAGATCTTCTATTTATTTTTAACAAAAGTGACTGGCACTGTAAAAGGGTATATTTCCAATTAGTAAGTTAACTAACATCTGTTAGCTATTACCTAACAGGATATTCTGCTAAATATGCAAAAAACGTAAGGTTATAGCAGAAAAAATGAAAAGGCAAGGAAAGATATATGATATTTGAGAAAAGATGAAGATTTATTTGCTAAAATATTTTCTTACTAACAGAAGATGAGGCATATAAGGGCTTTATTTGGTGGAGCAAGCCGAACTAGTCATTCTCTCCTCTTCTTCATGTAATTATTTATATGTGCTGACAGCAACTCTTAATAGAAGAATGCAACTGTTTTGCACATTTAATTGCAGTTCGGGCTTTAAAAAGAGATTCTTTTTCAACTTTCTTTTCTCATATTTGTTGTAGTTTTGCACATATCCTTATGTCTTTAACCTTAGATCACTGAATATGCTTTATACCTTTTGGTTGCTCTACTTTTTGTAATGTCGTAATTGATGTCTGAGTTTATTATTCCCACCCAGTAGAGAATGTAGCTACGTACTAAATGTGGAGCTTGTATGAGGATACCTCATGGGGACATTACCCCTAAAGATGGGAAAGGTAAGGCTTTTCCTTATGCATTTTGCTATTGCTAGCAATGATTTATAATGTCTGCAAGCATATCATATTGCTTTATAAAATGTTCCTGGTTTCGTTTGATGTGCGCTCTCTATGTTTATGTTGACCCCTTTTTTGTGCTATGGGTAGTTATAGTCAGGGTAAATTTCACAAAACTACTATGAACTGTTAGGATTTTTAAAGGAAACTTCCTTAAACTGGTTTTTGTCAACCTTTTCCGCTAAACTGCCATTCTAACTGCCGTTGGTGAAAGTGATCATGCGATAAACATGTGGCCTTTTTCATAATTTGACGCGCATTCAGTTTATATATGACCTTTTTAATAATTTGATGCTCAGTCAGTTTATATAACTACTCTTTAATGCCATTAGGGTAGTTCCTTGTCGATTTCAAAGTTTGTGGTAGTTTTACCCTTGTATTTATCTTTCATAAATGAGAACTGTTATGCCATTAGAAAAATTATAAGATCTGTCTTTTTCTCCTGCAACATCTAATTGTTTATTATTACTTTAAAACATTGTATTCAAGGTTACATAGACACTGGATCACCATCTGTTGGTCCCAGTAGATCATGCAAGTCCATGGAAATGGAAATAGAGTCCCTGCTTGAGAAGTTACTTGATATTAATGATTCCATGAGCCGGTGTGCTGCAACAGCATCTGCTACGAGTTCTGTCAATCAAAAGCTTGCAAGGCATAGGGACATACTCCATGAATATACACAGGTAATTTGTTGCATTTTCCTCCTTTCCAGTTGCTATTCAAACTTGATCCAAATGTTTTTTACCAGTTTCCACACACAGTGGGCATTTGTAACCCTTTAGAATCAACCCTGAAGGTGGGGCAACAGGTTTTATAAGAAACTAAAGTAGTAATCTTAAATTTTCACATGATAGAATGTTGAAATATGTTGGTAAATCAATGGACACTATTGATAATGGTACGCTATTGTGAGCTTTTCCGAAAGTGCAGTAAAATAAAGTACAAGTGTAATATAAAAGAAAACAAATAGCATAAGATTGTGCAGAGAGAGGGGGGAGAGATAATATCCTAGTTGAAACCAAAATATATAGTGGTTCGGCTACTCTGTGTATGTCCATTCTTGACTTCTTCAAAGTTTCTACTTCCAGTGCTCCAACTGAAGCAAATCTGTACACTTGAAACTCTCTTGCTATCCAAGGGATTATACTTCAACCAATTTTCCAATCAAAGAGTGAATTCTTCCCTCGAAACGTATCTCAGTACAATGAGCTTACGTAGATGTTTTCAAAGTTACAAGATGAGAATAAAGATTAAGCATTCTCTCAATTAATTGATATCAACTTAGGCTCTACAGTATCTTGATGAAATATATCATTATCCTGCATTTAATGGAACTTGGATCTTGAGATCTAAATAGCTACATGAGTGTAAAGATGGGAACTTTGAATGTTTCCTGTGAAACGAGATTGAAGAAGTAAACTTGTAGTATATAAACTTGTAGTATATTTAAAGTGTAAGTTGCAATTTCAAATCTACACACTTGCCAACTCTCTTGCCACCCCAGAGATTATACTTCACATTTAATCAGAGAGTGAATTCTTCCATTGAAGAGTATCTCCCAATGCAGTGAGCGTATAAAGATGTTTTCTTGGTTAGAAGACGAGAATAAACATCAGCCACTCTCTCAATTAGTTGATATCAACTTAGGCTCCATAGTATCTTTATGAAACTTTGAAGTGTCCGGCACTTACTGGAACTTGGATATTGTGGTGTAAACAGCTGTATGAAATAAAGATTGTATCTTTGAATATTTCTTGTAGAATAAGATTGAAGATGTAAACTTTTGGGACATTTAAAGTGTAAGTCGCAGTTTCAAGTTCTCTTGAAAGTTAAAGTTGTTAGATTTCTGGTCAAATGATGGTTTCTAGCATAGCAAGGTCATGATTTACATAAAGTCTAAGTTAATGGTAGGCGATAGACGAAGATATTTGCCCCATTGCAAAAAACTACTAGAAACCAGTCTTGTCCTGGTCACATGCTACTCAATGGTTCATTTTCAAAATAGACCATATTTATTTACAGTGCTGGGTCCTAACAAGGATTTCAGTTGGATGCCACAGAAGGAATTAAACATGATTGCAAATGCCGCTCTTCATAAGAGCGTTAAGACTAACTTAACCAGAGAAATCGGCCTGTCTTTGATCAAGACCAAAAAAGAATTAACTTAGGATCATGTACCTATCACATGTGTCAAGTACTTGTTATGAAAAGGGAGAGGTTGTTTCTGACATGGCAAAACTCACAAAAGGGCCATTCAAGGTGAATTCAAATGAAATTGTATACCAGTTACCATGGTCTCTGCTAGATATCATATCTAAATGCAGCATTGGACACACCTAGGCATAATATAAATAGTTTGTGAGGTTAGTATTTAACATGCATCTTTGGTAAATATGAATTTGGTTGGTTTACAAGTAGAGTAACACTATCTTAACCTTGAGTACCAAAAAACATGCTATAATTAGATATCTAGGAACTTGACTTAGGGTAGATAGAATGAAGATTGGGGATTTAGTTCTAGATAGTTTTCCTACGATCCAATCTTAAAAGTCTTTTTAATAAACTGCCTTACATGTGTAACCTAGAGTCGCATGAATCTTTAAATAACTCCAACTAATCCGAGTAACATTTGAGAAATTTGATGTGATTTGGCTGTCACGACTTGATCTGGCTTGAATGAGCTTGGAATTCAATCTTCCGCGTTGATATTAAATTGAAGTCCAATTCATCCATTCTCGTTCAGGAAATGGGCCTAACCTGGATGAAAGTGCCACAGTAATACACTTCCATTAGGCGCATGATCTATTTTCTCATTGTCAAAGTCAAAATTATAGGGTTCAAGCAAATCTCTTCCTTCTTTTAATAAATATACTAGAGATTGATATGGGGAAGAAAAATTAGGTATGATATCGGATTTGGGAGCTTTCCGCTAGGATAAGTAGGATTTTTAATCGGTTATCGTTTTTTGAAGTTTATCAGCGAGTTATCGGCGATAAAAACACTTATCGGCCGATAAGTAGGCTCTAAATATCGGCTTTATCGGCCGATAAGTAGGATTTGGGAGCTTTTACTTTTTTTTGAATTTGCTCTTTGAATGTTTACAAATTATGAGATATTTGTTGCTTTTGGAACTTGGTTGATTGGTAATTAGCTAATGTTTGTTTATGGATATTGATAATGGCTTATAACTACTAAATATCAACTTAGTAAGTTAGTTTATGTATCTCATGATTAAACTATAATTATGTAGATGCGTAGATGGTTCTTCATTCTTGATGTTATCTTATTATTTGTTTGTTAATTATTCCATTTTAACTAACATTATATTTTTTTCAAGCTTATGTTTGTTTATTATTTGTTAGTATATTACTCCGATAAATACTACTTATCCCCGATTTCCGCTATCCGATAAGGATTTTGATCGTCCGATAAATCCCCGATAACCGACATTTAAAACCTTAATGCTTGGTACTAAGCATAAATTTTATGCTTGGTAGTGAGGTGGCACAATCCCCTCCACTCATTCAAATGTGGGACCACATTCATATGGGTTGAGGAGTGCATGAGAATATGCAACATTTGAATGAGTGAATAAGATTATGACTTATGACACCTCACTACCAAGCACAGTTTTTTGTGCTTGGTACTAAGCATACCCATTTTTCTCATATATATATATATATATATATATATATATATATATATATAGAGAGAGAGAGAGAGAGAGAGAGAGATCCCGCCGCGAGTTCCCTTTGAGCGGTCACAAGATCAAGCTCTCCGCCGCGAGATCCCTCCGAGCCGCTACCAACCCCAGCTCCGATTTCTGTCAGGTAAAATTACAAAAATCCTTCTTGATCCCACTCTCGATCCCTCTTAATTAAGAAAAAATCAACAAAAATAGACATCGTTGTTGATTTATTAGTTAGATCTATAGTGGGAGGTAAAGGAATGTTGACTGTAAGCTTAATTACAAGAAATGTACCAATCTCAGTCCTCCACTTTACTATAAAAACATATTAATTCTTGGACATGTTAAGAATGAGAAGGATACATAGTACTATCTCAGTCCTCCATTTTATTGAGTTAGATCTATAGTGGGAAGTAAAGGAATGTTGACTGTAAGCTTAATTATAGGAAATGTACCAATCTCAGTCCTCCACTTTACTATGAAAACATATTAATTCTTGGACATGTTAAGAATGAGGAGGATACATAGTACTATCTCTACAAACTTGCATACCTCACCACTGAATTCAATGGCCTAAACTTCCTTAACCATCTCCACAAACTCCTACGCGGTCATCCAATTTTTATTTTCTTTTTTGTACGAGGGGGATAGAGGGTTTATTGTTTCTTGTGGATGGCGTAATTAGTAAAATGACAACTTAATTTTTTGCACGAGGTTTGTTCACTAGGCTACCCCAGTCCATGTACGTATGTCTGGATTTGTTTCCTTTTCGTTTTTTGTTTGCTTGCATTTTTCTGTATCAATCTTTAATTTTTCACCATTACATCCTTAGTTTTGAAGTAACATTGAACAGAATGTTTGGAATTGGTTTTCTTCTTTAGGAGTTCGGAATGGAGGAAACAAATTCAACTAGTATAGAGTTCGGAATGGAGGAAACAAATTCAACTAGTGTAAATGCTCCTAAACCACTTATGGGAATGAAGTTTAATAGTTATGAAGAAGCTTATAACTATTATAACTCATATGCATTGTTAATGAGTTTTGGAATAAGAAAGAGCACGGTGAATTACTCTCGTAAGACTAGAGAAGTGGTAGACAGAAAGTTTATTTGTGATAAGGAGGGCTATAAATCTAATAGAGACAAGATGGAGATTCATCTTCGGCGAGAGATCCGAGTGGGATGTAAGGCAATGATGCGAGTAAAAATATTAGAGGACAAATTGTGGGAGGTCACAGGGTTTGTTGAAGAACATACAAATCATGTGTTGAGTAGTCCAGACAAAGCAAAAATACACAGATCACATCAACAATTCCATAAAATTTAAAGATGTAAAAAACTGATTGATAGTCTGTGAGAAGAAGGTATGCCTCCTTTCACTATTTTTCGCGTCATCAATGCAAGTAATAGAAGAAGGTGAATTAGTGACACCACAACAGTGCATTGATCATATCAGAACCCAAAGAGTCAACAATATTGGACAACAGTGCATTGATCATATCAGAACCCAAAGAGTCAACAATATTGGCCATGAATGCATATCTATCATTCGACATTTTCAGAGTATGACAGCGAATGATCCAGAATTTTATTTTGTAATAGAAGTAGACAGTAGTGGACAAATGAGGAGTGTTTTCTGGGCCGATGGAAGATCAAGAGCATTTTATTTGTAGTTCAGTGATGTTATTGTGTTTGATATGACATACAGAACTAATAAGTTCAGATCTCATCAACATACACTTCAACAAATCCAATAATACATTCTTACACCCTACTTAGCACAAATCCAATAAAAATACCAAATACAAATCCAAGAAAAATACCAAATAAAAGAGCAAATATAAAAAGCTTCAACAAATCCATAATATCAATCTCAATCTCTCTTTTCCCGCACTTCTCCACTTGACAAAGCTCTTGAAACTTAGGACGTCACGCTTGACTGCTTCGTCTGAACAAGCTCTGCTTTTGAACCTTTAAACTCCTCTTTATCAGATACC